TCACATCTCGGTAGGTTACACATCAATGGGGACAGGTCAAGCCACATGACAGGTAGTAGTTGAGAGGACAAGGGACACCTCAGCAAGCCACATGACAGGTAGTAGTTGAGAGGACAAGGGACACCTCAGCAAGCCACATGACAGGTAGTAGTTGAGAGGACAAGGGATACCTCAGCAAGCCACATGACAGGTAGTAGTTGAGAGGACAAGGGACACCTCAGCAAGCCACATGACAGGTAGTAGTTGAGAGGACAAGGGACACCTCAGCAAGCCACATGACAGGTAGTAGTTGAGAGGACAAGGGATACCTCAGCAAGCCACATGACAGGTAGTAGTTGAGAGGACAAGGGATACCTCAGCAAGCCACATGACAGGTAGTAGTTGAGAGGACAAGGGATACCTCAGCAAGCCACATGACAGGTAGTAGTTGAGAGGACAAGGGATACCTCAGCAAGCCACATGACAGGTAGTAGTTGAGAGGACAAGGGACACCTCAGAGAAAAAAACAACATCTCACAAGCCAAAACAAAAAGAGATGACATGAATAGGACAACGAATACATGTGCATATTGGTAGATGTATATCAACGCCTGATGGTTTTAATTAACATACACAGCGTAAGGGTATTTGGAAATTTACATTAGGACATTGTACTTTAAAGTCAATATGTCTTTTTTCTTATAAATTATGTATTTATATTCATTTTGAATAAACTTATTGGTAATATATATATATATATATATATATATATATATATATATATATATATATATATATATATGAAAGTATATATGTGGAGGGGGGAGGTAGAGTGCGATTTGGGGCTTCAGGCTTCCATGTTCGTTACATGACATTCGATGACTAAACCGAGCCAAAGTAAAGTATAACCGGTGGCTCCCGACAGCGCCTCGTGACGTCCGTCACATCAAAACGGTTGCCGAGGCGTGTTCTACCTGACTAAAGGCGTTCATACAGCACGCCCTGGGACGAGAGGGCGGTAGTGTGGACAAACTCACACTCGGAACACTATGATCCAAGCAGTGGCGTAGCTAGGATTTTTGGGCCCTATGCAAAAATTATCAGTAGGCCCCTTCGTCAGTCGTTAGGATACAATGGAGTTAAACGAAGAAATCAACTGCTAATCATGATAAAGGATTTTAAATAATATAAATATTCTGTACATTTTATATTTTATACTATATTACCATGTATTTTTTTTAAATATTACGGGCTTACAGTTAATTTTTTTTTCAAGTAATCGAATACAGTAGCGTGATTTAAGACTGTGGGCAGAGGTGCGGTCCGCATTTGATGACAACATTTATAGCTAACACTTTGACAAAACATAAAATTTATTGTCAAAGCTGTGTTGTATCCAGCTAAAATAATAAAAGATTAATGAGAGTGGGGTGAAATGTAAAATTGCTTGGAATGATAGGATGACACCTTTAGTAAACGCCACTTTTTGACGCCACTAACCAACCACAATTTTAAAAAAAATTGCTCATGATTTATTTAGATCTGTTTTTTTTTTCATACTTTTAATTTTGTAAAATGATTAATAAGTTCATTGAGATTTACTTTGGCTGCTTTTGTATGTTTGATGTTAAGATAGCCAAGTTACTGACTGAATGGGCATATCAACAATTTGTTTCATAATAAATAACATGAGCAAATAATTACATTTAAAAAGTCCATCATGAACATCAAAATCTCCTTCCCGATCTCCGTGGAATGTTAAAGAATGTTTAATTAAACTAACTAGCGTATCCGTCCGCGTTGCTGCGATCTAGTCCCACATACCATGGTAATAAAATTATTTGTAAGGGTTTCATCAACGTGTTACCTAGTGCGTATTTTTAGTCGTGTGAACTTGTTTTTTTAAAACTGAGATAGGCCTAGTTAAAACGTAAACAACGCCACTGCTGTTTGTTTCGGGGCGCGGGTTGGTCCACTCTACTGCTCAGATGCACTAGCGTGTGCTGTATGAAAACATTGAGTGTACGTTATTTATCCTCTGTAATAGTGAGGTTGAATACTTTTCGGCGACCGCCTGAGTGTCAGGGGCGTCGCGGGAGTGACTGGTTACACTACCGTAGGTAACCAGATGCAACCTTTGGTTCGTTTTATTCATCGAACGTAGAGGCCCACCGTGTCCCTAATCTAGAATACTCGTGTAATTGGTGTAAAAATTGTCATCCGTACGCCGAGGACGTCAAAAGCTGTCCCTGTTGCAGTTTGACCATTGAATCAAGTAGTACCTTGCAGGATGCCCAATTTACGGATCTCGTGTACACAGGCGCGGTAGTGCTCACAGGGGAGCCCGGGACGCACACGGTTACACCACCGACGTAAATTTATGCCGAATTCACAAAAGAGTCAGTTCAAGTTTGTTTATAGGCTAATTCTCTCAATGGCTTGCACGACCATGCGGCAACGCCTGAAGTGATATTATTACGGATGGGCCCTGTTCGACCCCCCCCCCCCCCTCACCACACACGCACTGAATCCCACTACTTGTAAAGTAATGAATGACTAGGGGCCTTTTTGGTACTTTTAATTATTTCTATAATAGAAAAGAAACTGGATTTTCATTTTCGTTTTTAAAACTATTTATATAAAACAAATAATGAAATTACAACCTAAAAGTTTTAATTTTTTTAAGAGGGAAAAGGGCCCCTAAATGCCTCGGGCCCCTATGCCTTGCTTACGCTAGCTTTACGGTAGCTACGCCACTGGATCCAAGAAATATGGCACCTGCTTTGTTCACATTGAAAAAACTCAAGAGAAAACAATTGGTAACGCATTAAGGGCAGGTCAAACGCCCAAATTGAAATTTAGGTGTTAGGACTTTTTTGAGTGATAAGGAAGTTGTAACTAACATAGTAAATGAAAAAAATGCAAAAAAATCACTAAAAAGTTATGGTTTTGTGAAAATATTTTCTAAAAAGTGTCATTTTAGGGTAAAATAGCTCAAAATTAGCTCTCATTGAAATCACAATAACACAGCTTCTGTTTGTCAGAATAACACAAATCTTTAATATAGTGTAATATACGCAATTACAAAAAAAGTTGAACTAAAACAATTAGAAAATAATAAAAAATGGATTTTAGCCAAATTTTTAAAATGTGAGACCTAAAAAATTTCCAAAAAGTAGGGAGTAGACTTAGCTTTTTTTTAATAAAATGACAAGTTTCAAAGATATAGAAATTCTTTTAGTTCATCTTTACAAGCAGTGTTTAGTAAACATGTGTTCAAAATTTCAGCTAAATATCTCAAGTAGTTTTTGAGTTATAGTGATTTAACTGGTACAATTTTGTTGAAAAGTAACATTTTGAGAAAAACGATAAGTAGTGAAAAATATACTAAATTTAAAACAAGTAATTAAAAAAAGTCTAGTGACAATTTTAGCGCAATTTCCTTGTGTTATCTAAAAATAGCTCTGTCGTAGCGTAAATCAAGAGCAGGGTTAGTAAAACCATTGGTTAGTTATTAAAACGTTTTTTATTAATTTTTTTTCAGTATTTTACATGTTTTATTTACAATAGAGTAACATGACTAAAAACCATTGCGCGCCCAGCTACCGAACGTGACGTCGCAGCCATTGAACGTGATGGCGCAGCTATTGAACGTGATGACGCGTGTGGTGTGGTTGCATAAAATGCCTACTAATTCGGTCCAAATTTTAATTAATTCAAAAAATTTTTTATGACCAAACGAAAGGATATTTTTGAAAACTTTCTTCGGCAATATTGTTCTAAATTATGGCAGGAATCGATTGGTACATGTTTCAAGTCGCTAAGTGGTCTGGTTGCCGAGTTATGGGCCAAAAACTACATTTTTTCGAGGTTTTTTGGCTTTTCCGGGAAATCCATGAAAGAAACCCGGAATTTTTATGGCCTATGTTCATCCTCGTAACTTGCTTAACATAATTGCTTTGGAACTAGTCCTCGATATTGCTTCGTTGAGGAGGAGATACAACTTAAAGCTGCGGACACACATCCATCCATCCATTCATTCCCTGAAAAGACGAGTTAATAAACGCAATTCTCCAGAATGGAAATTGCGCTAAAAAAACGAGAAAAAGCGAAAACTATACCAAATAAGTCATTTTTAAAACCTTCGAGTTACATACATTGCATCTGGAGCCTCTTACTCAGCAATAATAACATCTATTTTAGATAGTTTTTAATTTTTATGTTGCTAAATGTTGTTTAATATAGGCGAATTACGTCATTAGTCTCATTAGTTAAAAAATTATAATACGAAATTTTGCAAAATAATTATACAAAAATGTTCAGAATTGAATGTAGTTTCAGAAACAATAGATTTTCAAAAAAATCAACATTTCTGACTTAAATATGTATTTGGGGGGGGGGGGGGGGGGGGGTTTAACCTACCCTTAATAAAATCTTGCGTCAGCCTTTCTTATGAGACAGCAGCAATGCATTTGACAGGTACGCATGTAATTAATACAAGATAATTACACAAACACTCTCACAGCCATACTTTTAATTATATATATATATATATATATATATATATATATATATATATATATATATATATATATATATATATATATATCTGTTACATTTGAAAGAACAAAACAGAACTTTAGTTTTAAAAGTTTTATTGAGTAGTTCGCTTACTAAGCTTATCCTTTTAATAAAGACTGAGGTAAGGTTCAATCTTAAAGTTGAGCGTTGCCATGTTTCGTCCTTAGAGAAATCACTCGGTCTATAGCTGTTGATTTAGTTATGGACTTGGTGTGAATGTATCTGGGGGATCAAAACATTGGTTGTTTCAAAACATTGGTTGTTTCAAAACATTGGTTGTTTCAAAACATTGGTTGTTTAACAATTTGATAACATTTCTAGTGGCCATAGTTGACACAGATCTCGTGAACTGGCCAGAAAGCACTCAGGATGAAAAAAGTTATTCGTTTCGATGTTCAAAGACAAAACTAGGTCATTGATCTTAACGGATGAAGGGACCAAGTGGTTGTTACGTCACTACCATTATTGCAATCAAACACCTTTTTGAAGAGAGCTACCTCTACTGAGGCTACTTAAACTATGGCTACATCTTCTGTCGGTACCTGCTAAGAACTTACTCATGAATAGATTGTCCCTAAGAACTTACTCATGAATAGATTGTCCCTAAGAACTTACTCATGAATAGATTGCCCCTAAGAACTTACTCATGAATAGATTGTCCCTAAGAACTTACTCATGAATAGATTGTCCCTAAGAACTTACTCATGAATAGATTGCCCCTAAGAACTTACTCATGAATAGATTGTCCCTAAGAACTTACTCATGAATAGATTGTCCCTAAGAACTTACTCATGAATAGATTGTCCCTAAGAACTTACTCATGAATAGATTGTCCCTAAGAACTTACTCATGAATAGATTGTCCCTAAGAACTTACTCATGAATAGATTGTCCCTAAGAACTTACTCATGAATAGATTGTCCCTAAGAACTTACTCATGAATAGATTGTCCCTAAGAACTTACTCATGAATAGATTGTCCCTAAGAACTTACTCATGAATAGATTGTCCCTAAGAACTTACTCATGAATAGATTGCCCCTAAGAACTTACTCATGAATAGATTGTCCCTAAGAACTTTGCACGGCGCTGGCTCAATACAGCAGTAGATACAGTGTTGTCTATTGGCTGCGTCACAGCCTTTGTCCTCCTGGTCCTGACATTGCTACCAACACAATGTCAATAAAGTTAGATGACAGATGTCAATAAAGTTAGATGACAGATGTCAATAAAGTTAGATGACAGATGTCAATAAAGTTAGATGACAGATATCAATAAAGTTAGATGACAGATGTCAATAAAGTTAGATGACAGATGTCAACATAGGTAGATGGCAGATGTCAACATAGTTAGATGACAGATGTCAATAAAGTTAGATGATAGATGTCAATAAAGTTAGATGACAGATGTCAACATAGGTAGATGGCAGATGTCAACATAGTTAGATGACAGATGTCAATAAAGTTAGATGACAGATGTCAATAAAGTTAGATGACAGATGTCAACATAGGTAGATGACAGATGTCAATAAAGTTAGATGACAGATGTCAACAAAGTTAGATGACAGATGTCAACGAAGTTAGATGACAGATGTCAACAAAGTTAGATGACAGATGTCAACGAAGTTAGATGACAGATGTCAACGAAGTTAGATGACAGATGTCAACGAAGTTAGATGACAGATGTCAACGAAGTTAGATGACAGATGTCAACGAAGTTAGATGACAGATGTCAACGAAGTTAGATGACAGATGTCAACATAGTTAGATGACAGATGTCAACACAGTTTGATGACAAAAGTAAAAAAAACACCAGTTAAATGACAGACCACGCATCAACAAAGCTAGATGACAAAACAGATGTCAATAATGTCAGATGACAAAACAGATGTCAATAATGTCGGATGACAAGCTAGGCAATCAGATCGATTTAAAAAAAATATATTTTCTCATCTTTTGATCGTAGCTAATCACTCTGTACTTTCTACTTGACCTACCCGATGACCTACCCGATGGACCTACCCGATGACCTACCCGATGACCTACCCGATGGACCCACCAGATGACCTACCCGATGACCTACCCGATGGACCTACCCGATGACCTACCCGATGACCTACCCGATGACCTACCCGATGGACCCACCAGATGACCTACCTGAGGACCTACCCGATGGACCTACCCGATGACCTACCCGATGACCTACCCGATGGACCTACCCGATGGACCTACCCGATGACCTACCTGAGTATGAGCACAGTGGTATTCAAGTTTGTTTCTGTCTCCTGTGTCCACTCTCATCTCACACACCTGTACAGCGATACAATAAACGTGACACAGAGATACAATAAACGTGACACAGAGATACAATAAACGTGACACAGTGATACAATAAACGTGACACAGAGATACAATAAACACAGAGATACAAAAAACGTGACACAGAGATACAATACACGTGACACAGAGATACAATAAACGCAACAAAGAGATACAATAAACGTGACACAGAGATACAAGACATGTGACACAGTGATACAATACACGTGACACAGTGATAGAATAAACGTGACACAGAGATACAATAAACGTGACATACAATAATCGTGATACATGGATACAATAAACGTGACACAGTGATCCAATAAACGTGATACATTGATACAATAAACGTGATACATGGATACAATAAACGTGATACATGGATACAATAAACGTGATACATGGATACAATAAACGTGATACATGGATACAATAAACGTGATACATGTATACAATAAACGTGATACATGGATACAATAAACGTGATACATGGATACAATAAACGTGATACATGGATACAATAAACGTGACACAGCGATACAATAAACGTGATACAGTGATACAATACACGTGACACAGAGATACAATACACGTGACACAGAGATACAATAAACGTGACACAGTGATACAATAAACGTGACACAGTGATACAATAAACGTGACACAGAGATACAATAAACACAGCGATACAATAAACGTGACACAGTGATACAGTAAACGTGATACAGGGATACAATAAACGTGACACAGTGATACAATACACGTGACACAGAGATACAATACACGGGACACAGAGATACAATAAACGTGACACAGTGATACAATAAACGTGACACAGTGATATAATAAACGTGACACAGTGGTACAATAAACGTGACACAGTGATACAATAAACGTGACACAGTGATACAATAAACGTGACACAGTGATACAATAAACGTGACACAGTGATACAATAAACGTGACACAGTGATACAATAAACGTGACACAGTGATACAATAAACGTGACACAGTGATACAATAAACGTGACACAGAGATACAATAAACACAGCGATACAATACACGTGACACAGTGATACAATAAACGTGACACAGTGATACAATAAACGTGACACAGAGATACAATAAATACAGTGATACAATACACGTGACACAGATATACAATACACGTGACACAGTGATACAATAAACGCAACAAAGAGATACAATAAACGTGACACAGTGATACAATAAACGTGACACAGCGATACAATAAACGTGACGCAGTGATACAATAAACGTGACACAGTGATACAATAAACGTGACACAGTGATAGAATAAACGTGACACAGAGATACAATAAACATAGCGATACAATACACGTGACACAGTGATACAATACACGTGACACAATGATACAATAAACGTGACACAGTGATACAATAAACGTGACACAGTGATACAATAAACGTGACACATAGATACAATAAACGTGACACAGTGATACAATAAACGTGACACAGAGATACAATAAACGTGACACAGTGATACAATAAACACAGTGATACAATAAACGTGACACAGAGATACAATAAACGTGACACAGTGATACAATACACGTGACACAGAGATACAATAAACGTGACACGGTGATACAATACACGTGACATAGAGATACAATACATGTGACACAGTGATACAATACACGTGACACAGAGATACAATAAACACAGAGATACAAAAAACGTGACACAGAGATACAATACACGTGACACAGAGATACAATAAACGCAACAAAGAGATACAATAAACGTGACACAGAGATACAATACATGTGACACAGTGATACAATACACGTGACACAGTGATAGAATAAACGTGACACAGAGATACAATAAACGTGACATACAATAATCGTGATACATGGATACAATAAACGTGACACAGTGATCCAATAAACGTGATACATTGATACAATAAACGTGATACATGGATACAATAAACGTGATACATGGATACAATAAACGTGATACATGGATACAATAAACGTGATACATGGATACAATAAACGTGATACATGCATACAATAAACGTGATACATGGATACAATAAACGTGATACATGGATACAATAAACGTGAAACATGGATACAATAAACGTGATACATAGATACAATAAACGTGATACAGTGATACAATACACGTGACACAGAGATACAATACACGTGACACAGAGATACAATAAACGTGACACAGTGATACAATAAACGTGACACAGTGATACAATAAACGTGACACAGAGATACAATAAACACAGCGATACAATAAACGTGTCACAGTGATACAGTAAACGCGATACAGGGATACAATAAACGTGACACAGTGATACAATACACGTGACACAGAGATACAATACACGGGACACAGAGATACAATAAACGTGACACAGTGATACAATAAACGTGACACAGTGATATAATAAACGTGACACAGTGATACAATAAACGTGACACAGTTATACAATAAACGTGACGCAGTGATACAATAAACGTGACACAGTGATACAATAAACGTGACACAGTGATACAATAAACGTGACACAGTGATACAATGAACGTGACACAGTGATACAATAAACGTGACACAGTGATACAATAAACGTGACACAGAGATACAATAAACACAGCGATACAATACACGTGACACAGTGATACAATAAACGTGACACAGTGATACAATAAACGTGACACAGCGATACAATAAACGTGACGCAGTGATAAAATAAACGTGACACAGTGATACAATAAACGTGACACAGTGATACAATAAACGTGACACAGTGATACAATACACGTGACACAGAGATACAATACACGTGACACATATATACAATAAACGTGACACAGTGATACAATAAACGTGACACAGTGATACAATAAACGTGACACATAGATACAATAAACGTGACACAGTGATACAATACACGTGACACAGAGATACAATAAACGTGACACAGTGATACAATAAACGTGACACAGTGATACAATAAACGTGACACAGAGATACAATAAACGTGACACAGTGATACAATACACGTGACACAGAGATACAATAAACGTGACACGGTGATACAATACACGTGACATAGAGATACAATACATGTGACACAGTGATACAATACACGTGACACAGAGATACAATAAACGTGACACAATGATACAATGATCGTGACATACAATAATCGTGATACATGGATACAATAAACGTGACACAGTGATCCAATAAACGTGATACATGGATACAATAAACGTGATACATGGATACAATAAACGTGATACATGGATACAATAAACGTGATACATGGATACAATAAACGTGATACATGGATACAATAAACGTGATACATGGATACAATAAACGTGATACATGGATACAATAAACGTGATACATGGATACAATAAACGTGATACATGGATACAATAAACGTGATACATGGATACAATAAACGTGATACATGGATACAATAAACGTGATACATGGATACAATAAACGTGATACATGGATACAATAAACGTGAAACATGGATACAATAAACGTGATACATGGATACAATAAACGTGATACATGGATACAATAAACGTGATACATGGATACAATAAACGTGATACATGGATACAATAAACGTGATACATGGATACAATAAACGTGATACATGGATACAATAAACGTGATACATGGATACAATACACGTGCTTACCTCATGTCCCTGCTGACAGTCCTGTGTCCCCGTGCATGTCGTGTGGTCATACGGGTCTGAACAGACCGGGCATGTCACGGCATTTACACCTGTTGGGGGTGGGGTGTGGGGGGTGGGGGGGAGAACCAAATCATTAGACAGACCGGGCATGTCACGGCATTTACACCTGTTGGGGGTGGGGTGTGGGGGGGGGGGGGAGAACCAAATCATTAGACAGACCGGGCATGTCACGGCATTTACAGCTGTGGGGGGTGGGGGGGGGGAGAACCAAATCATTAGACAGACCGGGCATGTCACGGCATTTACAGCTGTGGGGGGTGGGGGGTGGGGGGAGAACGAAATCATTAGACAGACCGGGCATGTCACGGCATTTACAGCTGTTGGGGGTGGGGGAGAACGAAATCATTATAAACCTGCAAACCCGATTGTTCCATTAAACACTCAAGTATAGCTCTATTTCAGATAGCTACGTATGTACGTATGTAAGTATGTACGTATGTATGGGTGTACAGTGTTTCTTCCAGACTTTTTTCTCCGGGGGGGGGGGGGCACTTGTAATTTTCGGGGGGGGGGGGCGGTAGACTTTCTTCGGTGGGGCGGACACTGTTAAAAGTATATATTTTCTATATAAATTATATACATTTCATTTCGTTCGGGGGGGGGGGGGCGGCTTTGCCCCCCCCCCCCCCGAATAGATGCCTGGAAGAAACTCTGTGTGTGTATGTATAGCCTAATCTACTCTCTAGGCTTATAATTCTATTGGGTGTCAGTGCAAGCCCGGCTGTACCCAGACTGGTAAAATCCTAACCTTAGTCTTAAGTAATCAGAAAACAAAAAAAATCCTAACCTTAGTCTTAAGTAATCAGAAAACAAAAAAATCCTAACCTTAGTCTTAAGTAATCAGAAAACAAAAAAATCCTAACCTTAGTCTTAAGTAATCAAAAAACAAAAACTTTACAATTTATAAAAGTTATTAAACAAAAACATTGGAACCAAATTAAAAAAAAACAGGGAGTGATCAACACTGAACTTTTTCGGGATGTAGATTTTTAATCCATTTTTAATTACTTAAACTTTTAAAAATAGAATAGAATCTCGTTGAAAAAATAATCACGCACCAAGTGAACGCCAAACAATCTGTATATAATGTTGCGGAATATTATTAGTACTTTTTAAATTCACATTCGTTTTTTTTTTTTTTTGAGAAATCAGAAATAGCGTAAATTACTATTTCCGGTCAACGGAAATTTCTCAAAATTGGAAAGAAGGCAGAGAATTAGATTTTTACGTAATTGTGAAATTTCGTTTATCTATCTGACACAGTAAACAAATTATATGCTTTTAAAAAATCAAAAGTAGAATAAGTTCCACTTCCGGTTACCGGAAATCTCTGAAAAGTTGAAACAGAACTACACATTTTATATAATACTTGTATGTGAAATTTCTTCAACCTAGCTGTAACGGTACTCAAATTATCGTGTTCACAGACATACACACACACACACACACACACACACACAGATAAATCTGCATTTATTATTTTTGCCTGATTAAAATAAGTCCCCTATAGGCCTACTCCGTATATTATGATGAAGTACTGAGGTGTAAAACAATGAAAACTGTCAAAATTTCATGGGACTTTTGTGCACGATTTCAATACTTCCTCTATACCCTGTTTACAAGAAAGTAAAAATAATGCAAACACTACAAAATAAATAAAGCGGGAGTGATTTCCCCTAAACTTTCTCAAATATTCTTATGTAACATTACGGAGATGGCAACTGGGGATATAGACATGATTTTTAATCCATTTTTACATTCTTAAACTTTTTAAAATATGAGAGAATCTCGTAAAAGAAAATTGCACACCAAGTGAACAGCAAACATTGAATAGTGCGGAAAATTAGTATAATGACGCGTAAAACACTGACATTTTGATAAATATCTATTTATAATTTTTGCCCAATTAAAAAAAAATACCATGTACTCCGTTTATGATAAAGTACTGAGATATAAAACAGTGAAATTTGTCAAAAATTATGTGATTTGTGTGCACGATTACAATACTTCCTCTATACTCTGTATACAAAAGTACACACCCAAACACACCCACTTGACACACTGACTCACACAAGCACGTATTCATACACACCTTCATACACAAACTCATGCTCACACTCACAACCACACACTCATACAAATATATACATACATACACACACTAATACACACAATCATACACACTCATGTAAATGCTCATACACACACTCAAACACCTGCACACACACACACACTATTGAAAAATGGGTAAAGTTAAAGCCACATTTTATCGAGATTGCAGTGTATGTGAGTGTTAGTGTTAGTGTGTGTATGTGTGTGAGTGTGTGTGTGTGTGTGTACGAGTGTGTGTGTGGTTGGGTGATATATATTGTAGTGATGCACTGCTACAAAAATGGTATATGTTGCTTGTAGTTTTTACTGCAATGTTAAGACAAATATTTAATTTAAAAAACTAACAAGGGTGTGGAATTTTTTTGTCGGCCATTGACACCATGTCATATTGCATACAGAATGGTATACAAGCAGAATAGTATACAAACATAATGGTATACAAGCGGAATCCTAATTTATAAAAGGCCATGTGCGCTCTTCTCTCTCTCTCTCTCTCTTTCTCTGTCCGCAAAAAATTTTCGCCGGACATCACGTCAGAATCGGCAGCGATATATCGAGAACTTTTTACGGACTTTTGTTGAAAATAATATGTTAGATGTTTTAAATGTATAACCACAATTTTACTTAAAGAAGAAAAATAAAAATTAAAGGCGTATTCGAATGTAGAGAAACAGTATTATTTATGCAACCGGAAAAGCATTAATACATGTGAAAAAGAACGCATAAAACTGTGACGTCGCTATTGCTTATACATTAACTAATGACGTCATCTGCTGTGTTTTGAATAAAAAGAAATGAACTATTTCATTCAAATTTGATTTAGATCTACGTACACTATGAAATGTATACAATACAGTTTTTCCGGCCTAAACTCATAAAATTTATTTTATTTATTTGGATTCTAGATCTAGAGATTCTAGATCTAGACTAAATCTAAATCTACGCAATAACTAGATCTATAATCTAGACGTAGACGCTAAGATCTAGATTTAGACTCTAACTTCTCTAAAATCTATTCCAAAAATAAATTTCTATATTAGGACTAAACTATTTCAAGACTTATTTATTTTATACAAAATCTTTGTTATGAACTGGCTAATTTGGGATAAAAAAATAATTTGAAAGAATAGGCATATTCGTGTAAGTTAAGATTTTAAAATACGTGTTTCATTCTCCGTATTTTATAAGGTGCCTAAATAGCGGAGATGTTAGTGTACATTAAACCACGCAGGTGGTGCGGGTTCGAGACACAGCAAGTCAACTTGGTTAATGTATTCTTTTTTATTATGCTCGGGCTAAACTTAAAAAAAAAATTCTTTTAGGAATCTAGATCTAGATCTAGATTCTAGATTGTCGGGTGTCCGATAGGGCACTTCCCGGCGCCGCAGGCGCTTCAAATTTGGCATGATCTTGCCTTGGTGCGACAGAACACGGGGGCCGGTTGGCCGAAAAGTCTACGATGTGGGGGTCAAAACTGACCTCGACTGACCTGTACCTTATATGAGCTATAAATCGAAAAAAAATGTCCACGGAGGAACCTCTTCATAACTCTTGAGGTCGTAGACCGACCTTCGGGCGAATTAATTAAGCATTCAAATTCTCAATGTTTTCGAAAGCCTAAGCGAAGCTGGGCAGCATGCCTAGTAGTATATAAACAGAATGGTATACAAGCAGAATAGTATACAAACAGAATGGTATACAAGCAGAATAGTATACAAACAGAATGGTATACAAGCAGAATAGTATACAAACAGAATGGTATACAAGCAGAATAGTATACAAGCAGAATGGTATACAAACAGAATGGTATACAGTACTCACACTGACACCGCAGCCAGAAGAATTAAAACTTCATCACGCCGTGGTTTACATCGGACATTGGCCAGTGTAACTGGCCAATGTCCGAAACACGCTGTCAATTTTCCAGTTCTTCGGATATTGGCCAACGCATCTCGGCTAGGTCGCACATTGGCCGCACTTCGGGCTTTGGCCGGAACACACACACACACACACACACGTACACGCACACATACACAAAAAGCAAGTTGTAGTTACCACATAGAACTGCAAGAGAAAAAATGACAATAAACAATGTTGCGTGCATCGTTAGCCCAGGTATTGTGACTCTTGGTGTGGTGACTCTTGGTGTGGTGACTCTTGGCGTGGTGACTCTTGGTGTGGTGACTCTTGGTGTGGTGACTCTTGGAGTGGTGGCAGTCTATGGAAGAAATTAATTAAAGTACTAATTTATACTTTTAAGCTGACCTTCAGAACGGTTTTTAAAACATTTTAATCTAATCTTTACTCTCGGGACTCACGTTCTAGATCAGACACGAAAGTGGGTCGGTAGGTTTATTCAATAAGCTGAAAACATTTATAGCGACATACTAGTAGTTTTGTACATAAATTTTGTAAATTATTTCAATGCTTCAAATCCGAACTACATCGAAAGTCAAAAGTCTTATTCAAATATGTTGTCAACAAAACCCATTTAATCAGACGCCCACAACTAACATACTTGCCCCCAACCATCTAAACTAGACGCCCACAACTATTTAAACAACATGCCACCACTGTATACGCTAAACTCCCCCCCCCCCACTATCTAAACTAGACGCCCCCAACTATCTAAACTAGACGCCCCGAACTATCTAAACTAGACGCCCCGAACTATCTAAACTAGACGCCCCTCATGGTTAAGCTAGACACCGCCACAGTATTAGCTAGACGCCACCCACTGAATAAACTCCCGCCACTATATAAGATAGACGCCCCCAACCATCTAAACCAGACGCCCCCCAATATATAAGCTAGACGCACCCCACTGTATAATCTAGACGCCCCCAGCTTTGTAAACTATACGCCTCCCACAGTATAAGCTAGACGCCTACAAGTATCTAAACCAGAAGCCCCCATTGCATAAATTAGACGCCAGTGGTTACATTCTACAGGCTCAGGATTTGGAGTTTGTTGACCTTTGCTTCTCTGTTTTTAATTTTGTGTGTTTTTTTACTTTCTCGTATATACGAAGTATAGAGAAAGTATTGTAATCGTGCACAAAAATCACTTGAAATTTTAACATATTTCACCGTATTACACCTCATTCCTTCATCACATCCGAAGTATAGAGGACTTATTTTAATCGGGCAAAAATTATCAATCCAGATTTATCAAAATTAAGAGGTTTTATGCGTAATCCAGTCTGAAAAACTGGGCTTTGCAATTCTGTCCGTATGTCTGTGTGTGTGTGTGTGTGTGTCTGTCAGTGTGTAAACACGATTACTTGAGTACCGTTACAACTAGGTTGATGAAATTTCATATATAAGTATTTTATCAAAATCGTAGATCAGTATCAACTTTTAAGCGATTTCCGATAACCGGAAGTGGTACTTTTTCTACTTTGAATTTTTCAAAAGCCTATAACTTGAGTACTATTTTAGATAGATAAACGAAATTTCACATGTAAGTATAAGATCTAATTCTCTACCTTCTGTCAAATTTTGAGTAATTTCCGTTGCCCAGAAGTACTAATTTGCGCTACTTCCGATTTCTCAAAAAACTAATGTAAATTTTTAAAGTACTAATAATATTGCGCACTATTATGCACTTTTTTATTTGGCGTTCACTTGGTGTGCAATTCTTTTGTCTACGAGATTTTATTCTATTTTTAACACTTTAAGTGGTTCCCAGAAAGAAGCGTAACGGAAAAAAACGCAACGGAAAAAAGCGCAAAACAAAAAGCGCAACGGAAATAAGCGCACACGGAAAAAAGCGCAAAGAGAAAAAAGCGCACACGGAAAAAAGCGCAAAGAGAAAAAAGCGCAAAGAGAAAAAAGCGCAAAAAGAAAAAAGCGCACACAGAAAAAAGCGCAAACAAAAAAAAGCGCACACGGAAAAAAGCGCAAAGAGAAAAAAGCGCACACGGAAAAAAGCGCAAAGAGAAAAAAGCGCAAAGAGAAAAAAGCGCAAAAAGAAAAAAGCGCACACAGAAAAAAAGCGCAAACAGAAAAAAGCGCAAACGGAAAAAAGCGCAAACAGAAAAAAGCGCAAACGGAAAAATGCGTAACCAGAAAAAAAACGAAAAATGTGCAAAAGAGAAATTTAGCACAAATACCTATATCGACTAGATGACACATTTATACATGACAGTTAGGGCTGCTGTAAGAGTGTCGTGTTTGATCACGTGATCTACTACTATTTAAAGCGTACCACTACCATGTGCATTCCCCTAACCACGATACAGGCGATAATCGCTTTACACAATGCCTATTATTTTCTTGGTCAATAATTATTCAACTACTATTCTCGTATAAATAAACATAAAACTATCCTTGATATCGACATTACACGAAGTATCTCTCACATTCTCCCTAGTCCGAACTACCTAGCTTGCATACCATAACTACCCGTTCCTATGGCAAAACTTCATTCTCTTTCATCCGCGTCATTAAACATGCATTCGTCATATTTCTCGCAACAACATTCATTCGCACCAAAATACCTGATAAAACACACATCATAACAACGATTTATTTACCATTATTTCATTATGACGCACCTACCTACCTACCTACCTACCAAACCTACCTCCCTCCCTCCCAACACCTCCCTCCCTCACTCCCTGACTGCCTGACTACCTACCTGCCTGCCTGCTTGCCTGCCTGCCTATCTACCTGCCTACCTACCTACCTACCTACTTACCTGCCTACCAACCTGCCTGCCTACCTACCTACCTGCCTACCCACCTATCTAATTACCTCATATATATATATATATATATATATATATATATATATATATATATATATATATATATATATATATATATAAATATATGGGTAGGTGGGTAAGTGGGTGGGTAGATAGGTTGTTAGGTGGGTATGTGGGTAGATATGTGGGTGGGTAGTTAGGTAGGTGGTTGGGTGTTTGTGTAGATGATATAGATTATGCACATTTCCATTTTGCTAGCTTAGTAACAGTGTTACAAAACTCGAAATTTCAAACTGGTTTGGCGTAAGGTTAGTTCATTGATCCTGTTGAGCCCTACATTACATAGTTAATCAGTTTAACAATGTAGATGCCATTGGAGTAGGTGTAAGTCAAAGCCTGATGTTATTATAAAACTTCATATCTCTTTGTTTCTTTATAAAAAGGTTTTGGGAGGTTTTTTTTAAGGTTTTTTACTGAAAGGTTTACCGGACGAATACAAAATGATATAAACAACCATAGCTCTTCTGTTATATAGGCTACATGCAGTGTATCTTCCAGACTTTTTTCTCCGGGGCTAAGGGGGGGGGGGGGGGGAGAGGGGATTTTCGGGGGGGGGGTCAACATTTTTCTGGGGGGGGGGCGGACACTAGTAAAAGTGTATGTTTACATGTTTTCATTACCCTTCAAACAATAGTCTATTTTAGTTATATTGAGATTAAAGAATGTAAATATATAGTACACACAATTCTGTAGAATAGGAACGATTGGGAGGGAAGTGACATATAGCGCAAGAAATTTAGAGGTTAGGTAGGGTATAATAAATGGTGGGGTTCGGAAAGTTAGGGTGTCCATTCTCTAACAGGCAGTCTATGTCTCCTTCCTACTTTCGTGTTGGTTTATTGTCGAACCTGTCCTCACCTCACATCACAACAGTTGGGTGACGCTTACCGTGTAATGTTAAAATAAATAGCATGTAATTGAGTTAGTTCGAAGTGAGTTTTCATACAAGCCCAACGCACTAATTAAGATTGTCGCAAAATGTAACATATATGTAACATATGTCAATGATGTCAATGAATTTTCATTAAAAAAAAGTACAGTTTACGAAACAAACGAACTTCGCCGATCCTTTTTCGATGGGTAGGTGGGAAAGTGGGTAGGCGGGTAGGTGGTTAAGTGGGTAGGTGGGTAAGAGGGTAGGTGGGTAAGTGGGTAGGTGGGTAGGTGGGTAAGTGGCTAGGTGGGTAGGTAGGTAGGAGGGTAGGTGGGTAGGTAGTAGGTAGTAGGTAGGTAGGTAAGTGCGTCATGATGTGAAATAATATTAAAAACATAATTGTTATTTTGGTCCGAATGAATGTTGTTGCTAGAGATATGAGAGATATAACGAATGCATGTTAGATGACGCGGATGAAAGAGAATGAAGTTTTGCCATAGGAACGGGTAGTTATGGTATGCTAGCTAGGTAGTTCGGACTAGGGAGAATGTGAGAGATACTTCGTGTAATGTCGATATCAAGGATAGTTTTATGTTTATTTATACGAGAATAGTAGTTGAATAATTATTGACCAAGAAAATAATAGGCATTGTGTAAAGCGATTATCGCCTGTATCGTGGTGAGGGGAATGCACATGGTAGTGGTACGCTTTAAATGGTAGTAGATCACGTGATCAACCACGACACTCTTACAGCAGCCCTAACAGTCATGTATAAATGTGTCATCTAGTCGATATAGGTATTTGTGCTAAATTTCTCTTTTGCACATTTTTCGTTGTTTTTTCTGGTTGCGCATTTTTCCTTTTTTGCGCTTTTTTCCGTTTGCGCTTTTTTCTGTGTGCGCTTTTTTCTGTTTGCGCTTTTTTCCGTTTGCGCTTTTTTCTGTTTGCGCTTTTTTCTGTGTGCGCTTTTTTCTGTTTGCGCTTTTTTCCGTTTGCGCTTTTTTCTGTTTGCGCTTTTTTCCGTTTGCGCTTTTTTCCGATTGCGCTTTTTTCTGTGTGCGCTTTTTTCTGTTTGCGCTTTTTTCCGTTTGCGCTTTTTTCTGTTTGCGCTTTTTTCCGTTTGCGCTTTTTTCTGTTTGCGCTTTTTTCTGTGTGCGCTTTTTTCTTTTTGCGCTTTTTTCTCTTTGCGCTTTTTTCTCTTTGCGCTTTTTTCCGTTTGCGCTTTTTTCTCTTTGCGCTTTTTTCCGTGTGCGCTTTTTTCTGTTTGCGCTTTTTTCTGTGTGCGCTTTTTTCTTTTTGCGCTTTTTTCTCTTTGCGCTTTTTTCTCTTTGCGCTTTTTTCCGTGTGCGCTTTTTTCTCTTTGCGCTTTATCCCGTGTGCGCTTATTTCCGTTGCGCTTTTTGTTTTGCGCTTTTTTCCGTTGCACTTTTTTCCGTTGCGCTTCTTTCTGGGAACCATACGAAGTATAGAGAAAGTCTTGTAATCGTGCAAAAAAAAAAAAATCGAGATTTTTGCAAATCTCGACGTTTTACACCTCACTGATACGGAAAAAAACATATTTTTGCAA